GCTTCAAAATGAAACAAACTTTGTAATTACAAAGTAGAGACACAGTAACATTAAGAAATGAGTCTGTTGATGTGACTCTTACAATGAAAGATTGCTTCCTAAAAATGAGATTATTAGGCTGGAGAGATGGCTCAGCAGTTAACAGCACTGACTGCTCTTCCAGAGGACCTGGGTTCAATCCTGAGCACCTACTGGCAGCTAACAACCATTCATAACTCGAGTTCCAAGGGATCTGGTGCCTTCTTCTGACCTCTGCCAGCACTGCATGAAACAGAGTGCACTTACACACATACAAGCAATACTCTCATACACATAAAATGAAAATAAAAAATAAAGGTGTTTTTTTTTTTTGGTCTTTTTTGAGTATTTTTTAAAAGATAAAAAATAGATTATCACTAATCGCTACTTAAGGACAGTAACAAATATGAATAGCAAATCTTACCCCAGGTAATACAAGAGCTCCAATTCCACTTTTTAGTTTGGACCTGCCTCTGCCACCTCGTCCTGATAGCCCTGCACCACGAGGTCTCCGCTTCCCTGGAAATCCAGACCCACGGCCCTACATAACAGATATGGAGGATATTAACATTCTGTGAAAGCACAAAGGGTTTTTAAGTCCAAACATCAAGGAAATGAAGCATTTTATTAAGTGCTACACAAATACTTGCCTCTTTTATTCTATTAGATGATACATATTAACAGGCCAGGCTTATTTCCATGTTTAAATATGTATTTCACAACTTAAAATACAAATAAAAACAACTTAAAACTTTACATTCAAAACCTGCATCATCATTCTGAGTGCCTCCCGTCGGCAGGCATGGGCATTAGCTGTCACTTCCTATAGCATCACTCTAATGTCTATAGCAACTATGCCTGACTAGACATTCCAGTACAAACAAGCTATTCAATAGAAATTAGACACAAGGAAGAGCCCTCTCTTGGGATGACAGTCACAGGTCACATTTACTGGCTAGTTAGTATGCACTGATCTAAGCAATTTTCCCTCAATAAAACCACAGAGTACCCCATTTTAGACTCAGTCAGCTTGCAATCCCTGCTTTTTAGCTACTGTTCTAAAATGTTACAACAAAGTCAATTTTAAAAACTATTTTATTTATTTATTTATTTTTGGTCCTTTTGAGACAGGGTCTCCCTATAGCCCCAGCTATCCTGGAACTCACTATGTAGACCAGGCTGGCCTTGAACTCACAGAGATCCGCCTGCCTCCCGAGTGCTGGGATTAAAGGCATGCGCCACCACACCTGGCTTTATTATTTTTATTTTATGTGTGTGATTGCTTGTATGCTTGTGAAGAGGGCTTCAGATTCCCCTGTAACTGAAGTTAAGGACAGTTCATAGCCGCCATGTGGGTGCTGGGAATCAAACCCAGGTCCTCTGCAAGAGCAGTCAGTGCTCTTAACCGCTGAGCCATCTCTCCAGCCCCAACAAAATCAATTTTTACTGGTGTAAAACAGTATTCTTGCAGTCATTAAAATGCAATCACTATCCTCTATTATTCAATAGCTGTTTAGTAAACTGAACATGTATAATTCATTTTACCACAAAAAAAATTGTTTAAAAATTTAAAGAAAATTGACATAAATGAAAAAACCTTAAATAATCTGGAAAGTAATGTTTAAAATGGGAATACTTTATCTAAACATTTTCTTAATATAAGAAAAAAATCATGCAATAAAATGTTAAACTTCCTGAACTCTTAAGCTAGAATGACAAGCGTTTGTGGGCTGTGGCCCTGTCCTTTCACCCCTCTCCTTTTCTCAGTTACACTAGGACTTGGGGAGGACTTCTTGGAAAACAACTTGCATCTTACAAGTAATATGCTATCAATTTTAAAGTATGCATCAGAAAAAGTTCTTTGTTTCCCATAAATTGAATAGCAGCAACCACATCTCCAAATGAGCTCACTCTTCACTCACCAGGGTAAGTTCCAGGTAAAAAAATATTTTGTTATGTTATGAAAACAAAAAGAACATGAACCCATGGGAAGGAGGACATCTGCTTTCCTCTTCAGTGTGAGCAACGACAAACACCTAGTTTCAAATGGCCTGTCCCTGTCTTCTCTTCATGGACTTCTTCAGATCCCTTGAAAGGCTCTCAGCTTTGAACAAGGGATAGAGTAGTGCTGCACTGGACAGGTTTTTAGTAGGAACAGGGAGATTATAGTAGTTTATTTTTCCTAACATCCACTAAAGTAGGTAAGAGTGAGTGATTTGGTAGTATTTGCTACAAACTATCAGATGAATCTTTTATACTCTTAAATACAGTCCTGTGTGGTGGCACTTAGCTATCATCTCAGCACCTGGAAGCCTGAGGAAGGAAGAAGGCCAGTCTGGGCTGAGACCTGTCTCTGATTGATTAATTAATTAAAATAAATTAACTAAATAAAAGTAACACTGCATTACACTAGATGATTACAATTATCAGGATGATCTTCCAATTGTGATAAAAACTAAGAAAGTACAATCTAAAAAGCCTCTGAAATCTTTTGACTACTCCAAATTAAACAGCACTATTCCAGAATCACACTAAATATAAATGATGAAGGAAAATGATCTTCTCTAGTCAATAAAGTATTTTGACTTTCAAGATTATTACTTTCAAGGGGAAGGGGTTGAGACAGGTTCTCTCTGTAGCCCCAGCTAGCCTTGAACTCAGAGATACAATACACCTGTCTCTGCCTTCTGAGTACTGGGTTGAAGGTGTGTACTATCATAGTCAGCAGAGAGAATTAGTTTTTTAAAAATATTTTTTACTCATTACTTTTATTTTATGTGTATGAGTACATTGTCTGCATGCGTATAAGGGCACCCGTGTCATGCAATGTCCATGGAGGTCAAAAGAGGGTACTGGATTCCCCTGGAACTGGAGTTATAGAAGGTTGTTAGCTGCCATGTGGATTCTGGGAATCGAACCCAGCCCATGATTAGTTTTCGAAGTGAATTTTCTACTTCAAAATACATCAAGAACCAGGAGAGAATTAACCCACGACCTAGGGGAAAAAGTTCTGTGATTTTGGGGTGAACATTCTAGTATTTTTCCTGTTTATATGTAATAGATTAAACTTTATAATATTACAAATGAGCAAGTTCTTAACTGCATTTGGCCTGTGTGACAAGGATTTTTTTCTTCACAGAAACATCAACAAGTCAATCGTAAAAGGAGGTATTAAAATTTATACTTATAATATTGTAATTAAACTTTCTACTCATCTAGATCTTCAAGTGCAAGCATGTTATGAATAAAGTTTTCAGACTTCAAAAGTGGTTCTGACAGCTAAGTCTATAAAAGGAAGGTTTAATTCTTAATATCAAACAGGGCAAAACCAACCAGAAGGAAATGGTACATGAATGTAAATGCAATTTTATTTACCACTTTGATGCTCCAAATGGGACTGCCAGAAAGCTGCCTGGGTTTAAAAATTTCCCGGCCTTCTGAAATGTCTGGGGACCAGGAAGGTGGGCTCACTGTATTATGGTTACTCCAAGCCCCCTAGGATATGGCAGGTGAGAAAATAGATGTATAAAACTCAGCAACATAAAAGTTCAAAGCCAGCAACTAAAGAATTTTAGAACAGCAAAAACAAATGCAAACGTATGGAAATTTAGGACAAATTGCTTCAAGATTGGAAAAAAAGGCATCACTTAGAATGACCTTATACTTAAAATGTTTGCAGCTATGATCTACATTAAACATTTTATTTTTATGGAAATAGCAGCACAATAAAGTATAACCAAAATCAAAGTTTATATAACATTGACTCATGTAATTACAGTACAAAAATAAAAATAAATACAACAACACTGCAAGGATTAGCACTAGAAGAAGCTACTCTGACCGTTTCCCAACAAGCATTATCTCTACCAAGGAGGAGAACGGAATACCTTTAAAGAACTAAAATTCAATCAAATCAGTAGGCCAAAATACACACTCAGATATATGCATACACCTTAAATTATTCTTATTTATGGGAATGACTACCCTACAGCAATATCCAAGGGATTAATCTGAATAATTAAAGAGATTTGTTAAAGAACATTGTCCTAAATTTGCAAATCAAAATGGTCAAGGTCCCTAACATACAGAAAACAGTGTCTCATTAAGATACTTAAAACTCATCTCACTTCCAAATAACCATGTTCAGCAACCTCCACTAATCTGACGAAGATACTAAAGAGTGTTAAGATAAATGTTTCTTCCAAAAAGGTAATATTTTAAAGAAAAACACAGAGCAAATGTCAACAAACAACATAATATATTATTTACCAATTAAATGACAGACTTGAAACAAAAACATTGTACTTACCAGGTTTCTAGAACATCACCAAACTAATAAGAATTCCATTAGTAACAAAAATACAATCAGGAATTTTAATAACTAAAAATAAGAGCTTGACCACTCCATTGACGAAGGGGGCAAAAAACCAGAAAGGAGCAAACCAATTTCACTGGTAATTCATAACCTAAAGCAGCACACACCCTAAGCCCAGCCAGCAATCCATCCCAGGCATCTTCTCTGTCACGCACACTTGTCTTACCCTCCAGTATTATTACCCTTGGGTTTTCTCTCAGCCATCACATCTCCACTGTAACGTTACCCAAGCTTACTAAACAAGGATAAGCTCTTCTCACCACACAGCAACCACTGCAGGGAATCATCCCAGTTCCCACCTCCCATGGCATGTGCCTGTGCCATTTTGCCTACTCAGTCAGTCAAAGGGCCACGGAAATGTCTCCATGCTGCCTGAAGTCTTTCTCTGGTCTCCTGTTAATCAGGCTCCTGACGTTCGGCAGACAGTTTGACTAGATCTTGTGGCAGCACCTCCTTGCTGATCTTTCTCCATCCCTTAGATAAGTTCTTCCTCCACTGACTTCTGAAGCCCAAATTCTAAACAGCATTTTCTATAACGGGTTTGAAATGTCATCTTCAAAAATCATGTCTCCCATATTTGCATTTTCTAGTTCTAATCTGCTGGAACATCTCCAAGTCAGTGTGATGTTTTCAATGTCCTTCTTAGTATGTGCATCTTATCACACAGATCCTAACATTCATCACACATCTAAAATCTCTCCCATAGTCGATTCATCACCTTATCTTTCTTGTCTTTATAATGGCGTCACCCCTTCAATCCAAATTATCAGTAAATCCAGACTTCACCTTGTTTGTCCCAAACCGATGCACTGCTCCGCAACTCCACAGCCATCGTTCCGTCCTGGCTACCTCCATCTCTCCTCACTGCTTCCACAGTTCACAGTTCTTTCTGCTTCTCTTCCCTGCTGTGTCTCCTTCAAACCTTCCTCCCCACAGCAAGCAGGAGGAACTTTTAAGAAAAATCTCATCCAGCAAGTCACTGTCCTATTCTGAACCCTTCAATTGTGCCTTCACTTAGAAAGCAAACCTTTCCAGCTGCTTCCCTCTCCCCACATCATGTATCATTATTCTCTCTGTGTGTAAGTCCTTCCTGCCCTGTCTTTGAACATGCTGCACTCTTCCCAGTCAGTGCCTAATCGGCATACAACACCTGGCTACTCCACCTTTCCAACCCTTTCAAAACTGGCTGGCAGTTCCTAACCCTTCAGGTAAGACTTTAGTTTTTCCTTGTCTAGAGGTCTTTGCTTGGCATCATGAGTGAACCACCACCTGCCCTTATGGCATCTATAGACGTCACTGATGGCATCATCAACTGAGCAGCTCTACACTTTTTCATCTTATTTAGTGGTAGAAAAGTACAAGCAAAACAGAACTCAAGATAAGTTTTCTCATTATTTCCACTGACTTTTCTTTATGGATATTTAGTTAATGCACAGCTAATGTTACATTTGATAGAACTTTTAACATCATGTAAATAGTTCCCAAAACTATCATAAAAGTCACACTTCGAGATAAAAATAGTAATAAATTTTTCCATAAATAAGAATTTTCTGGTGATTATGTATTATTCATCAAAATTTAAAACTTAGCTTTGATGCCAAAATTGTATCTCACTTCAAACGCATTTACATTTCATATAACACAGATGAACCAAATGCAGAGCTTCACAGATCAAGAATGTTCTGGATGCAATTACAGAAATAATCAGGCAACTACTCAGCTGCAATGAAGAATTTATGTAATAAAAGCATGGGTAATTACAGAATGAATTTTAATAAGAATATTACCACAGGACACTGAAGACAGATTATGTGCAATTTTAAAGGAACTAAAGAAAAAATATGATTATATATATGTACACTGACAAAAAAAGAAATTACCTAATATATCCTTTAGACCTAAAAACTGAAATATAGTTGTAATTTAGTAATAAATCACCATTTAGTTCCAACTCTGATCAAAAAGAACTGCTATGAACCACTGAGAAAAGCTTGGCTGCCACTGCAGTGTGTGCCTTCCTCTGTAGAATGCTCTGCCTTGCAGCGTCACTCTATATAAACTGCTTGCCATTGGATTATAAGCACCAGGACAAGCCACGTTCGACAGTGTTAAGTGTTCTGTTCAGTAACTACTGAATATGTTTTTCTCTCTGAATATTATCTTTTGTATGCATGCTTTTTGCTATCAAATATACTAAGCTTACTAGTATTCACCAGAATCTAGGATTTCCTTATCTCCAAAAAAAAAAAATTATGGCTCCAAAGCACTCTTACTATTAAGCTATCCTCAAGTGGAATTAAGAAGAGTTCAAACTATAGAACATCAGAAGACTGAAACTTGAAAAGAGCTACACAGAACCAAGGTGCTATCAAATCCAATCGAAATTTTGAATACTATTCAACAGAGATTGAACTGGCTACAAAGATAAAACTAACTTCTGAGCTGTCCAAGACAGTATTAATCTTCCTACTTAGGTAACATTATGAACATAATGTAAATGTTACAGGACTGTAGGATAAAGAAAAGGTGACAATAATGGCATTTTGTTCCATTTAACTTATATTCAAAGCCAAATCCAAGATTGACAAGGTAGCTCATGCCTCTAACCTCCGTTCTCAGGAGGCTGAGGCAGTAAGGTTGCTACAGGTTTGAAGCCAGGCTGGGCTCAGGACAAGGGATCCTGCACTCCATGGCCCCCCAGTCATGCCCCTCCACACTCCCAAGAAGAAATGGGAAAAGAGGGGTGAAAAAAGAAAAATAGAAAGAAGCCAAACCCTATTGTCATGAATAATGTAATTGGATGCAATTATTAGAGCACAAGAGAGTACTTTTTTTTTTTTTTTTTCGGTCTTTTTGAGACAGGGTCTTTCTGTATCCCCAGCTGTCCTGGAATTCACTAGGCAGACCAGGCTAGCCTCAAACTCACAGAAAGCCACCTGCCTCTGCCTCCCAAATGCAGGGATTAAAGGCCTGCACCACCACACCCATCTTACTTTTGTTTTTAAGAACAGCTAAGGAGAGCTTGGTGTCCCACAGGCAATCTCCTACTTCTAACAGCCTGGGTTCACCCTCTCCCAACATCCTATACAAAGCCAAGTTTCCTCTTAGAAAAATAAGTCTAATTTTGGAAAAGTGAAAATATTAAGAGATAGAACAAAAAGAAAGATAACTTAAAAAACAAAATAAGAGTTTATCATTTATTTGCCTTTTAGGTAAACATATACTCACTAATGCGGACTGAAACTATAGCACTTTATTTTTGTCTTATAGAAGGCATTTTACATTAAAAAAACAAACAAACAAACAAAAAAATCCAAAAAACAAAACCGGGGCTGGAGAGATGGCCCAGCAGTTAAGAACACTGGTTGTTCTTGCAGAAGACCTGGGTTCGAATCCCAACACCCACAAGGCAGCTAACAACTGTCTGTAACTCCAATCCCAGGGGATCTGACAGCCTCTTCTGACCTCTGTGGGCATTGCTACTCTAACAATAGCAACCCTAAAATCTTTTAAAACTACTCAATGTAGTTTTCCTTCAAAAAATATATTTTGTAAGAAGTGCATAGAGTTGCTGGGCGTGGTGGTGCATGCCTTTAATCCCAGCACTTGGGAGGCAGAGGCAGGCAGATCTTTGTGAGTTCAAGGCCAGCCTGGTCTACATAGTGAGTTCCAGGACAGCTAGGGCTACAGGGAGACCCTGTCTCAAAAAGACCAAAAAGAAAAAAAAACAAAAAAAAAACAAAAAAAGAAGTGCATAATGTCAATATTCAGACCTGTTCTTAATTAAAGGCAGCTGTTAAATTATCAATATTAATTAAGATCTGAATATGAAATAATTTATTTAAAAGTAAATCTCTCCTTGCTTAGACAGCATAGTTTACACATGTAATTTTTGATTTCATTGTTCAGTTTGGGTTTTGTTTTATTGAGGCAGTGTTCCCCTGGAGCCCCTGCTGAGTTGGAACTTGTTATATAGACCAACTGACTTGAATCTCAACAGAAATCTAATTCTGCCTCCAAAGTGCTGGGATTAAAAAATGCCTGGCTCAAAAAAAAAAAAAAAAAGCATTTGGGAGCTTTTATCTAATCCTTGAAAGATTTTAGGGTTACCTTTTCAGAG